TGCACGCTGAAGCTACAAATAGGACCTAGCAATTTTTTGGTATGTATGTGGGTTTTTAAGGGATCTGACACTGGTCAATTTCTATGCTTCTACAGAGCAGCCTTAATCTTCCAGGCCAGTCATCCACACAAGACAACCATGCTCTTTCCCCACAAAACCACAGGAGCAGCAGCAAGAATTTAACCTAGTGCAGAAAGAAGTTGTGGAATCTGCTCTCCAAAGATCACCCTGAATGTGCCCAGTGTTCAGCATGCCTGACTTGATTCCCTGCTGTGTCTGTGTAAGCAATTTCCAAAGGCAGAAATGACCAAGCTAGGACACAAGAAGCCCGCAGCCTCTGCCTTGTTTCTGTCAGAATGCTGACTCACTTGCTGTGGAGACATTCTGCTTAGACTCAGGCTGTCATGCTGTGAGACACTCAAATCAGACATACAGGCTGTCTTAACCAGCCTGAGTTTTCACACATGCTCCAATTTCAGCGTAATGTATACTAAGAGCTTCAAGAGTGAATCTAGCTCAATGGCTGCCCAACGCCCCCCCACCCACACCCCCACAACACACTGTAGCCCATCTCAGAAAGACAGGCCTCCTTTGCTCACACAGCCATCCTTTGACTTGGTCATCTCACTTTACAGGGTAGGTGGGATTTGATAACAAAATCAAAGGGTGCATGCCTTTGTTGTTGGTAGTGGTGGTTTTGTTTTGGTTTGGTTTGGTTTGGTTTTGGTTTTTCGGGACAGGGTTTCTCTGAGGCTCTGGAGGCTACCCTCGAACTAGCTCTTGTAGGCCAGGCTGGTCTCGAATTCACAGAGATCTGCCTGCCTCTGCCTCCCGAGTGCTGGAATTAAAGGCGTGTGCCACCACTGCCCGGCGAAAAGTTTGTTTTAACTTATACAGTCTCAGGGGGTCTCAGTGTGTTGTGGAAGAAGAGGCATGACAAAGTCTTCATTTTAGAAGTGTGTATCACACGATGTTCATGTCACTGATGACCAGGGAAGTAGAGGGCAAGAACTAATATAACCTTCAAAGACCCATGCCCAGTGGCTTACTTGTACCAACTAGACCCAAACTCCTCAAGTTTCACAACATCCCCAAATACAGCACCACCTGCTAGGAAGAAAATGTTCAAAACATGAACCTGGGGCTGGAGAGATGGCTCAGCAGTTAAGAGCATTGACTGGCTGCTCTTCCAGAGGTCCTGAGTTCAATTCCAGCAACCACATAGTGCTCACAACCATCTGTAATGAGATCTGGTGCCCTCTTCTTGTATAGATGAAAACAAAGCACTCATATACATAAAATAAACAAATAAATAAATAAATATAAACAGCCCACGAGCCTGGAAAACTGCGGAGTCAAAGCACAGCATCCCTGATTCCACATGCCCACGGCGGAGTTGAATACAAATGTTCTTTCCCACAGCCCTGGTAGGATACATGAGTCAGCCTGAATCTTCCAAGTTCCACTTTCCTCTGAATATAGGGAGTGAGAGGCCCCTGACCCAAGAGAGTCAGAGTTCTTCCTGGAACTGTCAGATCAAGTTGAGAAAAGATTCTTCACTGGACGGTTGACCTGGCACTCTGTTCCCTGGAGCTGGAAACCAACTATGGACAAAGCTTTCTCAATTAATTGCTGGAATGTCAATGAATTCCTTTGAAATTTAAGTTGCAGGAATTTGCTTCCTGTCACTGGCTAACCAGAGTCCTGTCTAGTAGGAGTAGGTCTGATCGGATTATATGTACATCCACTAGAGTAATCAAGAATTGATGGATTCATATGTGAGCTGAAATTCAGCCGTGGCTGCAGATTTGGGAAAGAAAGAAGCCCAAAGCTGCTGGTGGTGCATGCATCCCCACACACTCCAGTGTTACTGGACCACTGGAGTCTGACCCAGAGGGTGCAAAAGGAGTCTTTTGGGGCTTGGAGCCTGAGGAATCCTTTGTTTCCTCTTCCCCACCCTCTGTGTCTGAAATGCAGAAGCCACCCCAGGAGAGCAGCCAGGGTCTTGAGAGCATGAGGGTTAGACCTCCTGCTGGAGGTGCAGGTGCTGGTAGAGAAAGATGGAAGCCTCCTACTGCCTGCTGCTGCTGGAGACTGTTGTACTGGCCAAAGGTGCCTTTCTTCCAGCTCTCTGCACATGAGAAAAACTAACCCAGTCTGGCTAGTGCATGAAGCCAGATGTGACTGTAAGTTAGACAACATCCTTTTCCCATTACATTCAAAGTTCTTGGAATTCTGAATCAGGTGGATACTTTTGGAGATTTACAGGTCTGGGCTGCTATGTCAGACTTGCATCTCTGGATCCATTCCCTACCTCTGTTGTAACAGTGTATACTTAGCAGCTTAAGGTGACAGATACATTATTTGGTACAAGTTTAGATATTAGAAGTCCTCAAACCAAGGTGTCATCAGAGCTGCTTTCCTTGTAGAGGATTTAAGGACATCTATTTTGTCTTTTTAAGCTTTCAAGGGTGATGGGGAAGTCCTGTGTATATGTCAATAAAGCACTTTTGGCCAATAGGGAAGCAAGATTGGTGGGACTAGGAGTCCAGGAGGACTCTGGGTAGGAGAAACACAGGGAGTCATCATGTAGCCCGCCAGAGAAGTAAGATGTCTGTCCGGTAAGAGAAATACTTAGATGGGTTAAATACTTAAGTCAGAGATAGCCAGTAAGAAACAAGCAAGGCCAACAGCTTCATAATTAATACAGTGTCTTGTGTGTTATTTGGGGACTACAATGAGGCAGAGCCCAGGTGACTGGTGGGGCAAAACCAAAGCGGCTGGCAAGGAAAAGGCTTCACTCTACACAAGGGGCCTCCTATTTCCCTTGGTCCATGTGCCCTTCTTGTTCAAGGTTGGCACTGTAGCACACACACACCCATTGCTGTTTGCATATCTCCTCTGCTTCAAATTCCTCTGTCTCTTACTTTCTTTAATGATAACATTTGTGATTATGTTGGGCCCACTGGATCAGCCAGGCTAATCTCCCCACACTCATGGGTACAACCACACCTGCAAAAGCCCCATTTTGGCATTTAAGCTAATGCGTTGGCAGGTTCTGGGTATCAAGATGTAGACATCTCAAGGCATCACTGGATTTTCTCCATTTTCTGTTTACCTAGAGAGCGAGAGTGATTTATCCAGGTCCCACACTGAGCTAGCTAAGAGGACAGAACTGCACAGACACGCTCATCATTGGCAGAGGTGGCTGAGGTGCCCTTTATCCTCCTGGGCATGAATCTAGAGGCAGGCATTCTTTCAAAATGTACTTCAGACCTCCTGCCTGCTCCAAAGCCACTGCTGTCACCCATGGCCCACAGCATCTATCCTCTTGGATGTATCTCTGTTACTCATTGCCACTAGGCGCACATCAGCCCAGCTGTCATGAAGGTGTTGTCTTATCCTCTGGCCTTCTTGATCTCTGAAGGCAAAATTTACATCTTAGGTCACTTGGTACCACAAGAATCCTCTGCATGGAGTAGAGGCTTCTGGCAAATTCTTCAGCTGGACTCACTCAGCTCCTACCCCACAGTCTGGAAAGACCCAGATCCCCTTGCAGACTAGACTAGGTGCTGTCCAGCTAGATGCTGAAAGTGGAGTAGTAAGCACAGGAAGACAGTGCTGAACGTATTTGGTTCTCTGCTTCAGCTGAGACAGAGGATTTTCTATTAGGTCCCTAGCATCTTTCAAACAAGCCAAGGAGTAGGAGTACCAAAGGAACAGAGCTTGCGACCATTTCTCACAGATGCCTGACTCCAGCCTGGTTCTTCAGCTTCCACCCTCTAAGCACCAAATCTGAAAGCTCCTTCTTGCCTGGTGTGAACAAATCTTCTTTAGATGGAGTGGCTTCTCTCATCTCTCAATACAGTATAATTCTATTGTCTGGCATAGCAAACCCAAGCAGGGTAGGCATTGCACCTTTTATTTCTCTTGCAAACAGCCTCTCCAGGAATTTCATCAAAAGAATAATGCACAACTCATTGCTATGGGTTAAAGATCCAACATTTTGTGGGGCTAGAGAGATGGCTCAATGGTTAAAATGATCTTTTAGATGACCCTGGTTCAATTCCCAGCATCCATATGGTCACCATGGTCCATAACTCCTGTTTCAGGAGGTCTGATGCCCTCTTCTGGCCTCCACAGGCACTAGGTATGCATGTGCTATACAGACATCCATAAAAACAAACCACAAAAATAAATTTTTAAAAAAAGAGTTCTAGTATTCCGAGCCGGGTGGTGGTGGTGCACACCTTTAATTCCAGCACTCGGGAGGCAGAGGCAGGCAAATATCTGTGAGTTCCAGGCCAGCCTGGTCTACAAAGCTACACAAAGAAACCCTGTCTTAAAAAACCAAAAATGCTGATTTAACACACTGTCATTCTCATTTTCTTCCCACCCCTGTACTCTTTTCTTTCAGTCTGCCTTGGCATTATCATTTACCCTGTAGTCATCCTGTCTGTAATTGTTCCTTTAGTGTCTCTAAGGAGCAGGATATGCCAACTATTCAATTGCTTACAAGATCTCTTCCTCTCTCACTTTAGAGACCAGAATCTCAATATTGCGGTGGGGTTACAAATCCATTTATTTAATTAATACGTGTATATGCATGCGCTCATGGAGCTCTGGGGACAGTGTGCATGAATCGGTTTCCATTTTCTATCATATGGGTCCCGGGAATCGAATTCAAGTTGTTAGGCTTCGTGTCAAGCACCTTAACCTCTGTGGCATCTTGCTGAACCTAGCCTCACACTCTCAGTTCTGCTGGGATTACAGGTGAGACCCATCCCTCTCCGGCGGTTTATTTTTCATTTCAATTTGCCTCGCCCGGACTCTTAGGGAGATGTTCCGGGTACGTGTTCTCAGTTTTTCTTATCTGACCAGAAGATTATAGCTTCCGAGAAGGAATGCAGCCAACCGCCACGCAGGTCCATGTGGTTCCGGTTTGCGCCCGGCCCGCCAGCCGCGGACTACATTTCCCAGAGAGCCCCGTGTGGGAGGCGTGGCTGAAGGATATGGGCGGCTGCTACGCCGGGTCCTAGGTGTACAGCGGAACGCGATGGCCGCGTGGGCCGAGCGGCTGGCAGGCGTGCGGGGAGTGCTGCTTGACATCTCCGGTGTGCTGTATGACAGCGGCTCAGGCGGCGGAACTGCCATTGCGGGCTCCGTGGAGGCGGTGGCGAGGTTAGTGGGCTCCACGCAGGGAGGGCGTCCGGCTGTACCACTGCCGAGCCTCCCGCCTCCTTGCGCATTGGCCCCGCCCCTCAGGCAGGCTAGGAACCAGACGTCGGGAAGGTTGGGTTGGGGCTAGACTTCCAAGGGTTGGAGCTGTGCTTTGGAAGCAGATGAGCTGTTGAACTGGTTAACCTTAAAGTAAAATACAGATTCAAAAGGTGTAGGATATTGCAATATTAATATGCTGTATGTTAGGCCAGTGAGATGGCTCCATGGGTAAAAGGCATTCACTTACCAATTGTGACAACCTGAGTTCAGTCCCTAGGACCCACAAAAGAAGTGGTTGCTGCAAGTTGCTTTTGTCTGACCTCCACACAGTGCTTCACCCTAAACATAAATACATGGAAAAGTTATTTTAAAATATTTTTGCTATGTTACTTACATGTTTAAATGACCATTTTTAAATATACTAGGTTAAGTAAACTATTTTAACCTGTTTCTTTTAACTTAGAAAACTTTAAATCGCATATGTGGCTAGTCATCTAATTCTTTCGTATTGGTTTTGATTTGAGGAGGAGAAGGTGTCTGGTTCTTTAAGTCTGCCCATGCAGGCCCCTGCCAGGAACCACAGTTGGCATTGAGTCTGGGCTATTTGCCTTTGGTGTGCCTAGCCACCACTGTGTAATGGTATAATGTTGGTGAACAGTAGGAAGGGGCTCATTGGCTAGCACTCAGCCTCCCAGAATCACTAGCTGGGGTCCTCTGACCTAACTAGAATTGTTTATTTACCAGCAGTTAAGTAAGCCCTTTGATCCCAAGAGGCACTCTCTCTGTTTATGTGTGTGTACAGAGAAGGGGGTGAGAGAGAGAGAGAGAGAAAGCACTGATGAGGTAACAAGGACTCAAACTGTGTTTTGTAGCAAAGTAAAAGGGACTGGAGAAGGGCATCTATTCCTAGGAAACACCTGGGCCCCTATGTGGACAGATGTCCAGGTTAACCTGTCTTTCTGGCCTCTACATGTTCTCCACTAACCCAGAATGTGTGCTTTGAGCATTATTTGGAGGCCCCTCTTGGAACGCAGTCAGACACTGGACAGTGTTTTGAAGAGAAGTTGCTTCATGGCAACCAGGACCTCATGAGGATTTCTTCTGAAGGGGAGGTAGATGATATTTTGTGCTCAAATGAATAAACTGAGTCACCATAGATGAGAAGTGAAGACAGCTTCAAGGCATGCAAGCCAGGGAATGGTGCCACCCACAGTGGGTATCTTTTCCCACTTTAATTAACCAGTGAAGATAGTCCACCGGCAGACATGCCCAAATGCATGTCTCCTGGATGATTCTGAGTCTCATCTAGTTGACAGTTGAGATTACCTGTGTCATACATGCATATCCACAAACGTATACACACACATACACACACACACACACACACACACACACACACACACGAACTTGTACATATGTACAAATAAGCACAATGAAAATGAGATTTCCTTTGGCATCTTGGCAAGAGAGCCCTTACATCTATGCCTCAAAAAAAAAAATATATATATATAAAAAGTCAGCAACTGAGTGGGAGTAAGGACAAATGACATAATCTTCACTAGGAAAAAATCTCCAGTGACCTCCTAAGCATATGAAAGATGTTCCACCTGGCTTCATTAGAAATGCAAATTAAAACTATACTAATATTTTTTGATAAAACAGACGAGAACCCTAAGTTTGGGAGTGAGTTTGCTTGATGAGTCTTTGTAGAAGCAAATCCTGCCACGTTACACACAAAGACCCAGTTGGTACTGCCGGGCAGTAGTTCCACTCTGGGGATTTGTCCTGCTTTGTTTACGAGAAACAACTGACAAATAAAGTGGCTGTGTCATTTGAAATCATAAAAGAAATCATAAAGGGTGATTTGGGAAGAGCTGCTGTCCCTCTGTCCACAGGGGACACCGTGTGTGAGCGCTTTTCCCTTAGGTGGATTGTGGGTGAGGACAGAAATCACACGTCTCCTCTTTGGGTAGAAGAGGCAGACATGCACATATTCTTGCAGCTGTGAAGAGGCAGACATGCACATATTCTTGCAGCTGTTTTGGCAGACACATTAACTGCTCTGGAGTCTTAGTGACTTAGGTTTAAGCAGAGAGAAGTGGGTGGTGGGAGGAGAGTGGAAGAAAGAGCCTTCACTATCCAACTTTGTATATCAACATTTTTAAAGCTTTGAACCATTAAAAAATAAAAGTAAAGTCACAATATGTGGCTGTAGGTGGGCTTTTCTGTCCTGCCAGCCATTCCCAAATAACCACACAGAGACTGATTATTAATTAGAAATGCTCATCTAATTGCTTAGGTTTGTTTGTAGCTTAAATTAACCCATTCCTACTAGTCTGTGTGCTGCCCAAGGCTGGTTTACCTCATGTACGTACTTCACATCCCGTGGCATCTCTTCAGACTCCACCCTTCTTCTTCCCAGCATCCTGTGTCTGGCTGTCCTACCTGTACCTCCTCCTGCCTAGCTATTGGCCATTCAGCTCTTTTATTAAACCAGTCAGAAGGTGCCTTGGCAAAGATACATCTTCATAGTGTACAAAAAGATTATTCCATAATGTGGCTTTCTTTAGCTGTGGGGTGAAGAATGGTATTAAAACTGACATAAAGCTGGGGATGAGGGAGGTGCCATGGTGGCTAGTTTGGGCACTTGAAGTGGCTAAGGGAGGAGACAGTAAAGTTGGGAACAGAGAAGGAGGTGTTTTAGAAGTAGGTCTAGTGGGACTTTTCCCAGCATGGATATTGTGGGGCCAGAGAGAACAGGAAGTGAAGTGGAGTCAAGGCAGAAGCTTGATGAGGCAGCTGCTCACGTGACTTCTGCAGTCAAGAAACAGAGTGATGAATACTTGTACTTGGCTAGCTTCCTGCTTTATTTATAAAGTCCGGGACCCAAGCCTAGGGAATGGTGCTGCCCACTCTTAGGGTTGTCTTCCCATAAACGTAATCAAGAGAATCCCCCAGAGGCTTGTCTCCTGTGTGATGCCATCAAGCTGATAATCAGCTCATGCTGATAACCACCTCATGCCTTTAATATTCTTCTAACGTCTGAGCCACATGAAAGGAGGGGATTGCTTAAAAAAAGAATCTGTAGCCCAGGCTGACATCAAACTCAGGATCCTCCTTTCTCAGCCCCCTGAGTGCTGGGATCACACTGTGTGCCAATGTACCTGGTTAAAAATTACTGTAGTAAATTCTACCTCTAGAAAACGTTCATATTGTGAGTGTAACACTCAATTCATTGTGTGTAACATCATCTCAGAAAGCCCGGTCCTTCCTCCCCAGCCCAGGGCAACCATGGCTTTGCCCCCTAGTTCCGTAGCTTAGTTTTGCTTGTGAATCTGGATATTGTGGGGCCAGAGAGAACATGAAGTGGAAGGGACTCAGGCAGCGGGACCTTGAGGAGGCAGCTGGTCACTTGGCTCTTCAGTCAAGCGCTTACAGAGTGTGTTTCCCTTCATGGCTGTCCCTTTCACCTGCTGTCACTGCTGTTATTTTTTGAGAGCTCTGTTGTATCTGTGGAAAGTGGTTTTTAGACAGCTCAATTGTGTTGCTAAGCATGGTTCTATGGAGTGATGTCTTACTCTTCCACTGTGAAGAGACACCATGACAACACAACTTCCCAAAGAAAACATTTAATTGGGGGGCTGCATGTGGTTTTAGAGGGTGACTCTATGACCATCATCATGGGGAACATGGCTGCAGGCAGGCAGGCATGGTGCTGGAGCAGAAGCTGAAAGCTTACATCTGATCTACAATCATGAGACAGAAAGAGCTACCTTGGGATATCATGACCAATGACACACCTCATCCAACAAAGCCACACCTCCTAATCCTTCCTAAACAGTTCCACTAACTGGGAACCAAGCATTCAAACATATGAGCTTATGGGGGCCATTCTTGTTTAAATCTCCACACATGATGACACAATTTGTGCATTCCTCTATTTCCCATTTGGGTTATTGCATGGAGAGCATGTGAATGTGTTCCTACAGAGTGCATCTGTGGAACACAGGAGTGTCTGAATTACAAGGGAGGAGTGTGTTGACTTTGAGAAGTGCTGCCAGGGAGTGTTGTGTCATTTGTATCTCAAGTCAGCAGTGTACAAGAGTCTTGGCTCTTTGTCTTTCCCCGTACTTGGCTCGTCTGTCCTTTCCTTTCAGTGAGGCAGGATAGAAGACAGGAAAAATCCTGGGAATATGAGAAATGAGAGGACCTCCTTCCCCCTGGAGTCTGGTTGAAACCTCTTACCCACAGAATGATTCCCAGATAATTAACCATGTAAGACCTTCATCCCTCCCAACTGTAAGCCTGAAATTTTCTGGGGATCTCACCAAAATCCCTTTTACAGAGACAGGATATGTACAAACCCCTCACGTATATACCCTCGGTGACTCCTGGTTTTACTTTATCAGATTATAATTCCACTCAAGGCATTTCCAAAGCATATCATCTCTTGATAAAGAAATGAAAAACAAAGTAAAATTATTTTATTTATTTATTTATTTTAGTGTTTCAAAACAGGGTTTCTCTGTGTAGTAGTCCTGGCTGTCCTGGAACTGGATTTGTAGACCAGGCTGGCCTTGGAACTCACAGAGATCTGCCTACCTGTTCTTCCCTAGTGCTGGGGTTAAAGGCGTGTGCTACCACCACCTGGCTAAAGTAAAAATTTTTAACATCCATTTTAAGATGTAACTTGAAAGCTGGGCTTGATGACACAGGCCTTTAAGTTTGAGGCCAGCTTGGTCTACAAAGCCAGTTCCAGGACAACCAGGACTTTTACACAGAAAAACCCTGTCTCAAGACAAAACATAAAGGTGTAACTTGAGAGCTACCAGAATAGTTATGGTTAATGCTAAGACAGTTAATTTCACCTCTCTATTGAGAAGTCTGACCTTATATTTGGGCGTGTCTTACCTCCTTTGAGTCTTGGAGAAGAAGCCCACACCTATGTGTGTGTGTATATC